ATTCAATTTAAATTGTCTGTTGAATTTCCTTGTTAGAAACCACCTTTCCTAAGCATAAAAAGTTAACATGGAACAAACAATAATTGTATTAATGCTAATTTTCTTCTATATAAGTCTTTGGTAGCGACTTCATTATCCTTATGAAATTCCTTTATAAATTCATGTAGACTCTTGATAGCGGATGGAAGATCACAAGTCAAACAGCCTAGTTAGTAATATCGGTGGCATCCTTAACCTGTCAAGCATTACTCTAGGCCAGCAGCCTATTTCAGCCATTCTTTCCCCAGGGCTGTTACCAAATACCTCAAAAACTGGAGTTAATATACCTTCTGGCTCTGTGGCTGACCCCGCAATTTTATCCGGACCCGACAGCAGCTTCCATGCTGTCAAGACAGTCCTTAACACGACACCAACGATTAGCCAGGGGCCGAAATCTATAGCCAAGCCTACCGATGAAGCAGAAAAAGTGCAAACTAAAGAGATTTCGGGCGTAATTAACCCAAAGGTCTCCGCTGCTAGTGATCTAGTGAAAGCTGGGGGTACTAGGAGACGGCGCTTTAGAAGCTCTACCTCATCTTCATCATTATCAAGTTCTCGATCACGATCTCCTCCATCTGTAAGGCTACGGCGAACGAGACCTCGCGAACATACGAGTCGCAGCTCTTCGAGATCTAGGTAGGTCTGACTCAGTTGTATTTAACCAATTTTTCACATTTATTTTTTCTCTGGAAACCTCATCCTTCGATGAACTATAGATCGAGTTAAATTACGGACGCTTATTTTTGTGTGGCCTGTATTATTTGCCGAATACAGTCGAAATCGGATCTTGGCTAATTGGACATTGTTGCATAATTGTTCGCTCGCTATTTAATCTACACATATACTCTTGTGCTGCAATAATGAGACTCTTCATTAAGTCTCACTGCCCGTTTTGGTGCCGGTAGCGCCTAGTGAATTTCTTCACTTGGCTATTCCTGTTATGATCATTCTTGGTTGCTTCTAGATGTCCACAGATCTCCACCATTATCTTATGATATCATGTTTTTATGTATACTATGCAAATCACTTGTTCCACCCTTTAAAATTTACTTGGCTTACTGGATACTCATTTTTATTATTGTAAGCGGTCTTAATTTGGCCCATCCTTCTTTAAGCCCAGCTCATAGCGTTGTGTATTACTGCCTTTTTTTATCTTATTCAGATATCACAAGTGATTATTTCAGATCTAATAGTTCCGGTTTTAGTTCTACAATCTTACCCTTGAAGGTTAGTTTTAAATTCCAAAATCATAGGTGGTACCAATAGCCAAACTGGAATTATACGAGAAAATCTGTTCAATATGATTGTGTCGTATAATCAAGCATAGATGAACAAACTCGATTACTTGCATCATCCCTTCTCTAAGGGCACAAAGCTTAATACATTTATTCAGATTATGATTTTCTAAAATATTGGCCTTTTGGATACGAGGTTTGTTAAACTCCCAAATAATCCATAGAGAATGTTTATTCATAAATTGAATATATGAAGACCAAGATGTTGTGGCCTCTGGTGTGGTCGCAGTCTCCTTTCGATTGATAAAAGTGGGTTGACCTCGCTGCAACTTGGTCTTGTTTTCAGGGAGACCATGTAGAACGCACCTAGTCCGAAGTCGTCTGCCATAGTA